GTAAGTAAGTAAGTAAGTAAGTAAGAAGTAGTAGTAGTAGTAGTAGTAGAGTAGAGAGAGTAGAGAGAGAGGAGAGAGAGAGAGGAGGNGAGGAGAGAGAGAGAGAGATTGCCATTTTGTCCATTGGGTCGCGTCACGCAGACCCTGGGGGTTGACTCAACTCAAGTCAGGATTTAGGTCCAGCTTCTGGACCAGTAGGGTTGGATCCGAGTCTAGAAGTATGGACTTGAGTCGGTTGGGTCAAGTTCAGATCTAGAAATGACCTAATCAGGTTGGGTAGGGTCCGGGTTTGGCCCAACAAAACGCATTATTTTTTAAATTAAAACTTACATTTTTTTTTTGAAATAACTTTGATATTATATCACTAATAACACATTAGACATACAAGTGTAAAAAAAACTCATGAGATGTGAGTAATGGCATCCCACAAGTCGTATGCTAATTTGCTAAATTCTGGAAAGCTAAACCTACTACCTACTAATAACGAAAAGAAAATACAAAGTAAGAACAGAGAGAAAGCGCATCCCAAAAGAAAATACAAATTTAAGCTAAAACTTACATTTTATATTATGAAGTATATATAACCTGGGCCTGACCCCAAGCGAAGGGTTAGATCTGGGTCCAACCTTGGATTTTTTTGGGTCGAGGGTGACCTGATCCGACCTGACCCATTTACACCCTACCAATGAGCTATATGTATGTTAAGGATATTTGACATGGAAATTAATTTTTTAGCTTGTGGGGAGAAAAATAATTCATTATTTTGGGCTCAAAATAGAGAAAACAACTTTTGCTAGAAAAATTTCCGTCCTAGATTTTGGATCCTTACGAAAGGAATGGGCAATTTCCTTGGAATACAATTTCCTGTTAATCTTTTCCGAGGCCTCAAAGGAATAATAATTTTTAGTGCTTTTAAATTTTGTCATTTTCTTTTTTTTTAGAATCTTGTAAATATATGTTTTTGATATATTGGCCATTATTTTACATGATATTAAAGAGTTACACAAGAGTGCTACTAAAAATATTGTGTTTATGATGAAATCCTAATGCAATATTATTTTTTCCATTACGTTATCCTTGTGGCTTTTGACAAATTTGTCTGTGTGATTTTTATGATTATGCTTTAGTTTTTTCACTTAATGCAAAATCTTGTAATATCTTTCGATCAATGATTGAAAAATCGCCGATCCGGATCGAGAATTGTTGATCTGGACTAGGAATCTCCTATGACCGTGCCGATTCTCGGAATCGATGTTTAGAAACTCCATAGGACATAAGGTATACCTTTTATAGCATAAAGCTATAGAGACCTTAGTTGGCTAGACCGTAGACCTCTTAAGATGTGCTTGGAGGTTTGAATCGTCTTGGCATCCTTTCTCATTTAACGTGCTTCCAACTTTTCTCCCCTCAATGTTAACCTCCACCTTTGTTTCTTTAATGCTACAAAAAAGAAAGTACAGCGGGAAAGTTTGAACTTTAAACCTCTAATATTTGCGCGTGTGCGAAACCCCTAGCCACCACAACTATTTCAAGTAAGTGATATCATCGTCAACATAAGAGCCTTTATTTGGGGTTGGGTAAGTGATATCATCATCAACATAAGAGCCTTTATTTGGGGTCGGCTATACGAATCCTGGTTTATGATTCTGCTCTATCAAGGACCATACCCTCAGTGAGGCCATAAGTCTTGGTATCTTTTCTCACTATTTCCAACCATATCCTTATTGGCTTATCCCTTGTCTTTTTTGAGCCTTCCACTTGAACCAACTCGCACCTCCTAATAGTTGTTGTACTGGGTCTGCGCTGCATATGGCCAACTCACCTAAGTCTATATTATAAAGCATATATATTATATATTATATAATCATTCTTTTCTCTTTCTCACTCTCTGTTTTCTTTTTTTCTTTTTTTTTGCCATACCGTCAGATCCAAATCAGGATGGGTGGGTGCATGATCCACCATACAGATCTGTTTTTTAAAAAATTGGTTTTAGTTCAGTACTTTGAATGAATTTTCTTTATATTCAGCACATATTTATTCTGATCCACCTACCAAATGGTGGATTCTGCTTGTAATCCTGACTCCTCCATGCTTTTTAAAATTTGGAATATTAAATCCGTCCTATTAGGGATCAAGATCGTGAGTTATATAGGATCTAGATTCCCTAGCATTATAGTAGAGTATAGCAATATGGTATAATATAGCAGTATCGTATAGTAATATGGTATAGTTTAGCAATGTGTTGTAGCACATAGTATAGTATATATTATGTAGTTGTATGCAGTAGATTTAAATATAATGGAATGCAATATGATATAGTATAGTGTAGTAGGGTATATTATAGCACAGTATAGTATAGCATGGTAGAGTACAATATAGTATAGCATATAGCATAATTATGTAGTATAAGAATATAGCATAATTATGTAGTATAAGAATATAGCAGTCTAAGTCTCTAAGATTGTATAACAGTACTAATAATCTTAATATCATCAGAGCTTTTTTCCAACTATTTGGGGTCGGTTTTTTCCCAACTAGGATTGTATAACAG